GCGTACCAGGAGTGCTGGATGCAGTTTGGACCTGCAAAGGTACTCTTACTCCGATGGAGAGGGTGCCCTCAACAACGACTCTGCGAAAGCAGTCCTTAAGGCAAGGGGCGCTGAATTAAGGATACGTGCGCGTGGGCAACGCGGTGCGACGATCGAAGCCAAAAATGGCATATTGCGCCATCTATTTCATGTCATGGGAACTGAATTCAACAGATTCGACTTACCTCTTGTGCTCGCACGACTACTGCATGAGGCCTTTTTTGCCGCCAGCGCGTTCATCTTCTATAATGAGGTGTTTCCTTGCAACGCCCTGTTTGGGCGGCAACAGGCAATGCTCCCTGACTTGCCTATCCTAAATCACGAATGGCCGACGGAAGCGTCGGACCATTCTTGTGAACAGATGATGCGCAAGGTATTCGTTGAAGCTATAACACAGGCCATTGCAGTAGCCAAGACCACTCGTGCATTGCGCGCTAAGACAACTATCGCCGGTCAGCACTACTACGATGAAGGAGATATAGTTGATTACCATCGCCCCACAACCACGAAGGACGACTGGGGGGCTGGACTGGCCCATTCCCAGTCGTAAGAAACGATCCCGAAAAGGGGTCAAGTCATCATTCGAGTGGGAAGCCGCGGCGTTCAGGTACAGTACGGCGATGCACGACAGTCACTCTATATTCAAGCTGTGATAGCCAGAGAAATTGGCTCCGACAACATCGCGTTACGGACAATGTTGACGTTCGTGGCCAGTTTACCTGCGGGGAGACCTGCTCTGAGATTTGGCTATGTCCCGACCAAGAAGGGGATGCTTCAGATGACAAGTGCAAGCCGACTATCACCTAAGGTACATCTGGCTTTACAATACCTTTTCATAATTTTCTTCCGCATTGAGAACGTAGTGTCGGTTAGGTTAGCCAAGAGTATCCACGGGCTACCTCCAGTGGCTTACGCTGACAGTTGCACATTGGTCCACTATGTCAGCGATGCGAATCCAGGATTTCACTACTATGAAGCCAGAGGCACCGCTCTTAACATCCACGATCTAACTGGATCAACACACTCAATAATCATCCAGTGCCTGAAGTCCACCAAACCTCAAGCGGGCTTTCCAGGATGTGACAAAGTTTGAGGAATTGGCGGATGTACCGACACCGGACGGAACCGCAAGAGAAGCCCCACAATCCGAACCACCACGGGAGGATGGACGGCTTCCCACGGTATATGAGGAATCGGGGGCTGACCTCGACGCATACATTATGGGAGTGTGGTCGACAGAACTACAAGATGAAAGGGAACTACTGGAGGCAACTCCACTAGAGGATCTTTTCACAGTACCCACACAGATGATTTCAGTCAGCAGTGTGCTGATCCCTGTAGCTGAAGAAAAGCGGGGGCACCTGCCTAAGTGGGGGCACCCACGCGACTCCGATATCGAGGAGACGTATCATGTCCCTGTCTGCTCCACGGTCGAAGATTGCAGTTACGGACTGGACTCAGACGAAAATGGACAATCGGTAGAACTCTGCTTGACGGCAGTAATGTCAAAGGTAGTCCTGTCCGAACATCAGCACAGGGTATTAGATGCCGACCGTGTGACCGCCATGCGAGTATATGTTGCCGCCGCTGCAAAGCGAGCTGTAGCCGTCAAGGAAGACGACCTCCCCGCGAAGGCTGTCGTCCAGGCGAACCCCGAGAAAGTATCGAAAGCCCTCTACACTGAGCTCAAGACATGGTTTAACAACGCGTGCTTCAAAATGCAAGGTTTATCTAAAGCGTCACACATCATGACTTCGAGGTATGCGTGCACATGGAAGTTTGTGAAGAACGAGAAGGGCGAATTGGAGCGTGCCATCAGATTGCGCTTGGTGCTTCGAGGCTTCATGGGCCTTGGAGCCTTTGATGTGGCAGCCTTTTCGGGAACAGCACGGCGGTCAAGCCAGAGGCTACTCGCGAGCACGGCAGCGTGCAAGAAGCAATGGGTCATTGCTTCCCTCGACATCAACATTATTTTCCTGAAAGGGTTGACCTACCAGGAACTCGCTGAGGCGACTGGTGAAAAAGAACGTGTGGTGTGTTTTACTCTGCCGCCTGGATCGGCTACGGTGATTCGAACTCTCCCAGGATTCGAATGCTACGACGAGTCGAAGCACTGCTTGCAGTGCCTTAAGCCAGGCACTGTCGCCAAGGACGCACCTCGAGCTTTCTCACGAAAGCTCAGAAGGACCACGAGAGGTCTTGGTCTCAGACCCACGTCCTACGACGAGGAGTTCGAGGCGAGCGGCAACCTGCTCACGGCCAAAGCTGTCGATGCCATCAATATGCCCGGTACAGAGGACACCATTGACAAGTGCTTCAAGTGCGTAGGAGACACCTGTGGTAAGGGTAAACTCAACGCGCACACGTGCACCAATTGTGCTGCGAGATATACCAAGGATGAGGACGGCAGTGTTACTTTGGACCAACACGAATACATCAAGCAGCTCCGTCTTATACAACATCCTGACCTTGCAGGCGCCGACGCTGACGCCCGAGCATCCAATCTGGTTGCCGACATGTTCGTCAGCCTTAGAGGCGCATTGGCGTATGCATTAATCACCTAGGTGTGGTTGATGGTGCATGTTGTTTCTCTACAGCGCGTCCAAGAACCGACCGGTATACAAGTGCGACGACTGGGCGCGGTTACCAGGAAACTGCAGGCCTGCCCCAAGAAGGTCGTCTACCAGGCGATGGCCACCGCGTGGGAGGTTGACCTGCACAGCGACTCAGGTTGCCGACGCCTGAGTGGAGATGCCGATAGCGAAGTCAAAGGCCATGGCATTCGCGGGGCAAACCTGCTACGGCGTGGAAGCACGCCATCTGGTAAGCCCGTCGTCCACTTGATCGATGCGCACTGCAAGTCTCACCGCTTGCAGGTCCGCTCGAGCGAATCAGCAGAGACACTAGCAGCAGCCCGCAACTTGGAGGACTGTTATCCCGCGATCGTGACTCTGCGCGAGCTCCACGCAGGGCCATTAACTCCCACTCAGTCGAAAAACATACTTGAGTTGGGTGGCCTGAGCATCAAGGTCACTTTGACCATAGATGCTGAGTCTGTTTTAAAGTCCCTGTCAAGCAAAGACTTGAAGAAGCCAGCGGAGTGTACCCTTGAGGACAGCAGCTGGATGCGACAGATGATGGAGCGAGGAATTGTGCACAGTATTCAGTGGTGTGACACCCGCGATATGACTGCGGACGGTCGCACCAAGAGGAGCATCGACAGAGACATGCTCCTACAGGTCATGGGAGGTCCACGATCCCTCAAACATGCCTCAAAGCGTCATACTTCCTATCGGGCTGGCCAGACATCTCGCTCTGTAGCCGCCTGGGGAGTACCCGTATGCACAGTATAGTGCAGGCGAGGCAACTTGCGTGCGGGCCCACCTTCCTTGCGGACCCGCCCTTTTTTTTTTTTTTTTTTTTTTTTTTTTTTTTTTTTTTTTTTTTTTTTTTTTTTTTTTTTTTTTTTAAAAAAAAAAAAAATCTCGCTGCTGTACCTGCTGTATAGAGGCGGCGGGCTCACGCTTCATATCCCTCCCCCCCCCCGACTCTCAAGTGAGCTGGGTGTTGCATGTGAGTGGGAACGAGCGTGCATCCGCAGCTCCTTGGCTCAAAGCGGCTGGCCGCCCAAATCTGACTACACCTCAGCGCGAGGTGAACTATTGGCCATCGATACCAAAACTGCTTGAGGTGACTCGCCTCCAACTACTGGGGCTATCGTTACTACGGTACAACGGAGCTGGAGCTGGGCTTCGCCTGAGGCGAAGCTGCTGGTTGGGCCTTTCAGCCCCTGTCAAACTCCCCCCCCAATCCCGGCGGGAAGGGGCCGAAGGGAAGGGGCTTGCTTCCCTTCGAGTCTATTACGACGTTGCTCAATTTCGCTTTGCCTGGCGCGCTTGCGGAGGAGGAACCAGGCAAGGAGGGGGGAGCGGCGACGGGCACATGGAAAGGAGGGCGCAAGGAAAGAGGACAGCAGACACGACGAATAGCGAATGATGGCGACGACGACTCGAACGGAGAAACCCTTCACACACGCGACAGGATCGGCGGAGTTTCAGCTCAATCCCAGGCCAGGAAGTAGTCACATCGACGTAGACCGTGTGATGTTGGCATCTTTTTGGCCTGGTCGAGGTCTTTTGGCTTGTTCCGAGGCCCGCCTACGAGGCCTCAATAGGGAGATGGGCAACACGAGCGCCAACATGGGCCCTCCTACCTGGATTACCCCGCTCCCTCCGCCCCCACCCCCTGCCCGTGGCTGGCTTTCCTCTGACCGTGGCCCTCTTGGGTCCAGGGCCACCCCCAGCTTCTCGGACTCCGTTGTTTTCGTTCGTGCGCTCTCTCGTGGTCGTTCGCCTCCACGCCCCGGCCCCTGGTCTGCCCCATTTTGGCCGTGGTCCTACCCCCTGGCCCAGGGCCACTCCAACCTGCCCCCGGCCCACCTCCTCCTCCTCCTCCTCCTCCTCCTCCTCCTCCTCCTCCTCCTCCTCCTTTTCCTCCTCCTCCTTTTCCTCCGCTTCCGCATCCAAAATCTGCGTTTTCCACCCCAGGGGGCCCCCAGGAGGAGGCCCCGGGGAGGCCCCAAGAGGCCCCCCCCCAAAGAGGCCCCCAAACAGCCCCGAGGAGGCCTCAAAGCCCTGTCGACCCGCATCTGTCTGACACATCTTGTTCAATCGTGCTGCACGGCCGGGGATCATGGCTCCATCTGGTGGCCTGCGGTTCGTCCCGCCGCCATGTCTTGGAGGCCCCTTGCGGCGTCTCGTGGGGGCCTCTCGGGGGCCTCTTGGGCGCCACTAGGGGTCCCTTGGGCGCCCATCCTGGAGGGGTCCTGAGGCCGTCTTGGGCACCCCGCTCGTCGCGCGCTTGCGCTCGAGGCGCGCTTGCAGATCAGGCTGACCTTTGGGCCCGAGAAGGGCTTGCTCGGGTCCCCCCCCCCTGTGGGCCCGCGCCGACCGTGGCCCGAGGTCCCCATCGGTGCCATGCGCGCGAGCGTGGAGACCCACGGTAACGGCAGGAAGCCGGAGGAGCAGCAGGCGTGCCGCGAGCGGGCGCCGTGTGTCCGCCGGCGCGCGGCCCCCCCCCGCAGCTCCCTCTCTCGGGGCACCGCGCTGCAGCCGGCCGCCCGGGTGCGCCAGCAGTGGCGCAGCAGTGGCGCAGTCCACGTGTCGCCGAGCCGTCGCGGCAGCAGGCCGTGCTGGACGAGAGCCGTAGCTCCCCGCTTCTCCCTCCTCTCCTTCCTCCTCCCTCTCCCCTCCTCTCTCCTCGCTCCTCGCTCCTCCATCCCTCCCGGCCCCTCCCTCGTGTCGCTCCTCGCTCCTGGCTCCTGGCTCCTCTCCCCCCTTGTCCCCCCCCCCCACCCCCCCGTCGCTACTGCCTCGATCTGGGCGGGGGAGCAGGGGCCGAACTCTCGCGGAGCGCTCGCCTCCTCGTCGCCCGCTGCTCTGCTGCGCACCTGGCCGGTAAGGCCGCGCGCCTGGCGCAGGTCACCCGGTCCGCGGGTCGTCCTCCTCGCCTTCTCGGCCCCGCTCCGCGCCCCCCCGCCCGCTCCGCGCCCGCCGCCCGCACCCGCCGCCTGAGGAGCTCCGCGCCTCCCGTGGGCCCTCTCCTGGCTGGGCCAGGCTCGGGGGTGGAGGGGCCTCCTGCCCTGACGCGTCGATTGAGGAACTGGCCGTTTTCGGTTCGCGAGAGGGCGTCGCGGCCGTCATTTTTGCGGGTCCCGGTCCGTCGGTTTCGGCCCCAGGCCGTTTTCACTGAGGGGAGGTTTACTAAAGGGAGGTCTGTCCACCGCCGACAGGAGGGCGGCCCAGGATTCGCCTGGCCAGGGTGGGGGTGTAGGTGGATGGTCGGCCCCCCCCTCTCGGTGATCCATGGACCCCCCTGGAGACGCCTCCTTCCCCTTGGAAGGCTCCGTGGACCCCCCCAGACTCCCCAGACTCAGCTGTAGTCTGCGACAACCTTGAACGACGCAGATCGCTCGAACGCTGCCGAGAGCCACCGCAGGCCTCCGAAGACGCCCCCGAAAAACAGCCCGAATGCCGCTCGAGTGCCGCTGCCCCGGCCACCGGGGGCGCTCGAGGACCCCCCGCGAAGAGGCCTCCTGGAAAGGACGGCACGGCCCCCCTGGGAGACCCCTCGGGGCTCAAGGGACCAGGGTCAATGCAAACGGGGGTCAGCCAGAGCGCCGGCTCTTGTAGGATCCTGCAGAGCCAGGGCGTGCGCGCAGGATCCTGCAGAGCCTGACTGACCTGAGCTTGATGATGCTCCAACCAACTTCAGCCTCGATCGCCAGAAAGAATTTCGAGCACCAACAAAGTACCGAAACTGGAGGGTTTTCACGTATCGGGCCCTGGGATGAGATACTCGTCCGACACTGTTTCGATACTTCTCTGGGTGCTCGAACTTATTTGTGGGACGTGGTCCTCAAATGCGATGGGAAAACATGGCCTGGGCTTCTGCGTTCACCTGGGTCAGTGCGTCCCCCGCTCGCGAGGAGGCCTCCCGGAGAGATCGGCATGGCCCTCCCGGAGGCCCCCGCCTCCGGCCCACGCTGCTGCGCCCGCCAGCCGCGGCGGCCGCGGCGGCCGCGGCGGCAACCGCGGCCGAAGGCTCGAGGCGCCCGCGCGGGGCTCGCGCGGCTGGCGCCGCGCGGGGGCTTGCGCCGCGCAGGGCCGGGCCGGGCCGCGGCGGGGTGGGGTCGCAGGGCACCCAAGCATATCTATATCTATATCTATATCTATATATACATATATACATATATACATATATATGAATATATATACTATATGTTTATATCTAGATATGTTTATATATCTATCTATTTATACACACTAACAAACGGAAGGGGCGTTTGAAGCAGGAGTGAAATGCAACAGCGAAGTCGCACTCGAGCGCAGGTGGGGTTGCCACACCTTGCGATGTGTGTAATGGGGGGAAACGATTAAAAAATCGCCCCCCCCCCCCCCCCCCCCGGACCCCCCAAAATGATTGAGTGGGGCTGACTAATAGAATTCGGCCGCCGGAAACTGTTTTTGTAATCGTCCGCCCCCCGGCGTTTGCTTTTGCCCCTTTGGGGGAACTGATTTTCTATTCGTCCTCCTTCGCTCGCTTGATCACCCGCGGCCGCGGGGGGGAGAGATAGCGAGGAGGAAAGGGAGGCGAGACAGCGAGAGGGCCACCCTCGTCCTTGCGGACGGGGGGGGGGAGAGGAGGACGAACAGGAGGAGGACGAGGAGGAGGAAGCGGAGAAAAAGGAGGAGGAGGAGGAGGACGAGGAGGAGAAGGACGAGGAAGAGGAGAAGGAGGAGGAGGAGGAGGAAAAGGAGGAGGAGGAAGAGGAGGAGGAGGAGGAGGACGAGGAGGAGGCGGAGGAGGAGGAGGACGAGCTCGCCCTGAAAAATCACCCCGTCCACCCCCCTGGCCCCCGCGCCCTGGATCGCCACCCCGTGCCCCCCCCCCCCCTGGCCT